CGCGGGGAGCTGGCGTGCGCCCCGCTAACCCCTGCTGCCAGCGCCTAGGCGCTTCAAGGAGGGGCGGGCCCCGGGGGCGGTGGCCCCAGCAGCGGCTGGCGCGGGGACTGGGCGGTGACGCGGCCCAGGGCGGAAGTGAGAAAGTTGTCGGCGTCCCGAGGCGAGTTGGCGGAGCTGTGCGTGCAGCGCGGCAATGGGGGGCTCGAGCAGTCGCCTGTCCAAGGAGCTGCTGGCGGAGTATCAGGTGCGCGGGGCGCGGGTCCCCAGGGAGCTCGCGTGCCAACTTGCACTCCGTAGTGGGGTTCCAGAGCGGCCGCAGGCTGGGGGCGGCTTTCGGGGGGCTACCCGCCCCCCGCTTCCGGGTGCTAACCCGCTCTCCGGTTTTGCCTTCCAGGACTTGACGTTCCTGACCAAGCAGGAGATCCTGCTGTAAGTGCTGCCTCCTACCTCGGGATCCTTAGGAGAGTTTCGGGAGGGCGCGGCCCTGCAATTGGGCAAATGGGACGCCCCCTACTCTAGAGGGAGGGGCAGGGGGGTACCTGAGATCAGCTGCAGGGCCGGTGCTGGAGACCAGGAGTCTGAGCCCCCGGGCGCGCCCTTCTCCCGGCTCGCCCTCCCCGCCAGCCTGGGAGTCCCAGCTGTGCACCGCGGAGCCACCTCAGAAAAGCTGGGCGCTCTTTGACCTGGCGCTCCACTTGCTTCTGCTCAGTCGAGCTTCCTGCCTCATTCCGGGAGTGTCAACAAGTGGCCTCTTGGACCAGAGAAGTTTTGGGGAGCCTGGTTCCTCCTCCTCCCAACTTTACCTGAATAGCAGTAACCGTTAACGCTTACTGAGCACTCACTAAACGCCAGCCACCGCGCCAAGTGGTTGCCTACGCTACCTAATTTCAGCTTCGGGAGGGAGGGGCAGGACACTTCAACAACTTCCGAGAGGTTTGGTAACTTGTCTAAGACTAAATCCCAAATAAATGGATTTGAGCCTGGGCTTAAACCTGGTTTTCTAGCCTGGTCCCTGTGTTTTGCGGGTAAGGGCACTTGAGTGAGATTCCTCGGCTTCTCTTCGCAAAGATAACTTCGTGGAAGGAGGTGGTGGTTGAGGGTAGCTGCTAAAAAGAAGGGGGCTTTGACCAGCAGGAGATCCTGGGGTGAGTGTGAGAATGGGATTTTTGGTTTTGCATCCCTGTTCTTCAGAGACAGCTTCTGGTGCCTTCCCCAACCTCTCTATATATAGTCTAGAGAGGATTTTCTAGATCAGTGCCCAGCACAGTGCCTGGTACACAGTCAGCCCCGAGTACCCACGGCAAGAAGAGATGCCCAGCCTGTGCCATCTGGTGACATCTCCCTGTGGCTTACCATTGCGTAATGACTCAAAAGACCCATGGCATCGCTCCTCACCTGATTCATGAAGGGTAGTGAGGCAAGGAGTGGAGATGTAATACACAGGGAGACTGATGCTTGAGAGTGCCAATGGGGTCCCTTCTCTGCCAGAGCCCACAGGAGGTTCTGTGAGCTGCTCCCCCAGGAGCATCGCAGCATGGAGGAGTCCCTGCAGGCACGAGTATCCTTCGAGGAGATCCTCAGCCTTCCAGAGCTCAAGGTGCAAGCCCTGGCCCCTCCACACACCCTCCCTCTGCACTTCCTGTATCTTGCTGACGCTGGCTTCGGGATCATGGGGTCACTGCCTGGTCTCTTTGATGTTTAGCCCTAATTTCCTGGGGGCAATGGTTTTACTAAAATCATACAGCAAGATTGTCAAAGATGGGGCTTCCAAGCTGGGATTTCTTTTTTCTTTTTCTTTTCTTTCTTTCTCTTTCGTCTTCTAGAGGGTATGTGCACTCACCAGAGAGGGAAAGAGAGAGAAAGGGAATGCAAGAGAGAGTCTCTTATAAGGTATGATCACACCGCAATTCCTTTTCCTCCATCTCTCCCTCCTTTTGATATCTTGGGCAGGCATGCACATGCAGCCGGTATGTTTCTTAAGCTGGGTCAGGACTCCAGCTACCTGGTCAGCCATGTGGCATCCATTTGCCTTAACCACTAGAGCATGTGCTAGCCCCAGTATGACTATTTCAACTGTTTCTAAAACGTTTGAGAATCATGAAGATTTTTTAAAAGAGGATGAAAGCACTCCCAATGGGGCATGATCACACTGCATTCCCTTCTCCACTTCTCTATCCTGTTGTGATTTGGGGCATGCAAGCACACTTGTCTGGTGTTTTTCAAGTTACTGAGGACAGGATTCAAATTGTAGTTGGCCACGTGGGACCCAACTCCCTTACCCACTAGGCAATGAGCCAGCCTTCACACTGGGATTCTTGAACTTGGGAAGGAACCCCCGTTGGTGAGTGATGTTCGTTTTATGCGGGACAGGGCACTTAAGTGAGGAGATTCAATCTCCTTTTTTGTTGGAGCTTCAAAGAAGTTTTGTCTTTTAAGAGTTGGCTTATTTTATTAAAGTGTGAGAAACCCTATTCCATAGGGCTGCGGTGAACCTTAAGTGCCTATAACACGGTAACTGTTCAAGTAAATGTTTGTGTTTTAAAACAACCAGCCCAGGGCCAGCTAGTGGCATGGTGGTTAAGGAAGCTGGATCCTATATACTGACTGTGGTTCAAGTCCCAGACCCGAGGGCTTAAAAAACACACCGGACATGTATGAATGCATGACTAGAATCCTGAAAGGAGAAATGAAGGAGAAGGGATTGAGGCACGGTCAACCCCCCTGGAGAAGTGCTTCCCCTCTCCTCGGTATGTCCTTGCACCCCTGGCAAATAAAATAAAATAAAATAACCAGCCCATCTTGTTCCCTTTGCTTAGGGCAGCTTCTTCTCCCCTGTCTGCTTCCATTTATATTTGACCTGCCTTGGGGTTAAATGCTGGCTCCCAAGAAGTCATCCCTGACCCTTCTCCAGCAGGGTCTCTTGGCCTCCCTGTGCTCCCACAGCCCACCAAGCTTGCCCTGAAGTACTACTTACTCTTCGCCATGGGCGTGGGCCCCACGGCGTGGTACTCTCACCTGTCCCATCACGTCTCCAGTGTGGTCTAACAATTGTGCAATCCAGCCTTCCTTGTGGTGTTCATGGAGATCTCTGTCACCTAGGCCAACCCTTTTAAGGATCGGATCTGCAGGGTCTTTTCCACGTCCCCAGCCAGAGACAGCCTGAGCTTTGAGGACTTCCTGGACCTTCTCAGTGTCTTCAGTGACACAGCAACTCCAGACATCAAGTCCCACTATGCCTTCCGCATCTTTGGTAAGGGCCAGGAGCAGCCTGGTAGGACGCCACTCCTTCCATGTGATGCTTGTTAGGGCACTGCTTGGGAAAATGGGGCCTTCGCAGAGCCTTTGGGGCCCTCTGAGCACACAGTTTCTGGCCTCCTGTGTCTGGCTTCTAGACTTCGATGATGATGGGACCTTGAACAGAGAAGACCTGAGCCGGCTGGTGAACTGTCTCACGGGGGAGGGCGAGGACACTCGGCTGAGTGACTCCGAGATGAAGCAGCTCATTGACAACGTGAGCGGCTGGGCAGGCCTGGCCTGGAAGCAGGAGGGCAGGGCAGGGGGGCCGTGGCCTGAAGCTGTCCTTCTCCAGATCCTGGAAGAGTCCGACATTGATAGAGATGGGACCATCAATCTCTCCGAGTTCCAGCACGTCATCTCCAGGTCACCAGACTTTGCCAGGTGTGAACGTGGTTCCCTGCGTTCTGGTGCCCACAGGTCCCTATCTACTGCCTCTGGGTCTGGAGTGTTGTGATGGAGGTGGTGCTGGGGTCATAGAAGTCCCAGCTTCCTCCAAGTGTCAAAGGTTGTGCTTTTTCTACAGGGGACCGACACATAGGGGACACGGCCCCTTCCAAAGAATGGTCTTAGAGAAGAGGTTCAGTTTAGGTTGGGTTTATCCCTTCCTCATTCGTTCTTCTTTTTCAGCTCCTTTAAGATTGTCCTGTGACAGCAGTCCCAGTTTGTGTCCGGCACCACGTACAAGAACCCTCCCACTGCTGAGCTGAGGCCACCGTCATGCCTGTGTCGCCAGGGTCAGCCAAGCTGGCCCAGCCTGGAGCTGGCACTGTGCGGTCTGGCCCTGGATGGGAGAGGGCCCTGGACCGGGGAGGCCCTCCCCTTCTCACTGCCATTGTCATCTTTGTTGGTGTTTCTACTAATTAATAATAAAGGTTTAAAAGTTTTGGTCCTGTGTGTGATTTTACGAGAAATGCTGGTGTGAGGACGGACTGGACTTCTAGGGGCCTCTGATCAGACCAGGAATAAATAACACCCAAAGAAGGAAGCCAGCTGGAACACCACAGAACGTTCCCCAACCCTGCCCAGCCATATGACTATGTGCAGAGCAGCCTGACAGATGAAATTCTGTGTCCTGACTGAGGGGTGGTTACATGACTTTCTACACCTGTTAAAATTGAGAGAACTGGGGCCAGTCCCTGGCCTGGTGGTTAAGGCAGCCAGATCCCATGCAGCCAAATAGACAGTTTGGGTCCCAGACTAGGCTTAACAAATATGCTGGGTGGGACCAGCACATAGCGTAATGGTTATGTCGCCGGACTCCCACATGGCTGCAGTTGACTCCATGGGAGTCCGGCGACATAACGCTCTCCTGGTGTGCGTGCCGGGGCTGGTGGGCCGGGGCTCTACTCGTTGGAGGCTATGTGGACCAAGAGGTCCACTACTCTCTTGCTGAAGCCAAATTCATTGTCATACCAGGAAATAATCTTGACAAAGTGGTCACTGAGGGCCATGCTAGTCCCAGTGTCAAAGGTGGAGTGAGTATCACGGTTGAAGTTATAAGAGTCGACCTGATCCTTGTGGGCCCTGTGACACCTGCTTCACCATCTAACTGATTTCATTGTATTTGGCAACTTTTCCAGGTGGAAGGTCAGGTCCACAGTCAACACATTGGGGGTAGGGATGCAGAAGGCCATGCCAGTGAGTTTTCCATTCAGCTCTGGATGACCTTGCCCACTGCCCTGGCAGTGCTAGTCATATTGGGATGATGTTCTGGGCAGCCCCACGGCCATCACACCACAGCTTCCCTAAGGGGCTGTCGACAGTCTTCTGGGTGGTGGTGATGGTGTGGACTGTGGTAACGAGTTCCTCCATAATGCCAAAGTTGTCATGGATGACCTTGGCCAAGGAGACCAACCAGTTGGTGGTACAAGAGGCATTGCTGACAATCTTCAGGGAGCTGTGGCACATCTTGTGGTTCGCGCCCAACACAAACATGAGGGCATCAGCAGAAGGGGCAGAGATGATGACCCTTTTGGCCCTGTCCTTTAAGTGAGCCCCAGGCTTCTCCATGGTGAGAAAGACACTGATGGACTCCACCACATACTCAGCACCAGCATTACGATGTTTGATGTTGGCAAGATCTCGCTTCTAGAGGATGGTGATGGACTTCCCATTGATGACGAGCTTGCCATTCTCAGCCTTGCCGGTGCCTTGCCATGGGTGGAACCATACTGATCATGTAGTTCAAGTTAATGAAGGAGTCACTGGTGGCGATGACATCCACTTTGCCAGAGTTAAAGGTGGCCTTGGTGAAATCCGTTTACTACGACGACCTTTACCACTGTGTCTCCAGGATGCAGCTTGCACTGCACAAGAAGATGCAGCTGTGTGTTGAACAGGGAGGAGCATAGAGCCCCATATGACCATTTGAAAAATAAAAATTTAGGGACCAGCAGTTGGCATAGTGGCTATGTCGCTGGACTCCCATGTAGTCGACCATGATTTGCGTCCCAGACAAGGTGTCTTAAACTCACACCAGGCGCGTGTGCGTGCGTGCCCAAGATCCTGATAGGAGAACGGAGGAGAAACAATTGTGGTGTGGCCATACCCCCGGGGGGGTGATTTCTCACTTTCTGTCTCTGTCTCTCTGGCAAGTGCATGTGCCCTATAGCAAAAACCTCTCAAAACAAATAAACAAAAAACGTTTCTGGAAAAGGGGGTAATGGGGGAGTCATCTGGAGTGATAATGCTGACAAGAAGGTTCAGGACCCCAAAGGTGGTGGCCACGCAATAAAGGTCAGACATATTCTATGTGAAAAACACAGCAAAATTAACGTTAAAGTCTGGAATGAGACTCAGTGAAGTAGACACCAATACAGTGAAGATAAAGCCAGGCCAGGGGCAACTGGGGTTGGATGACCAGAGTGTCCACGGTGGGACCATTTCAAGAATTTATCTTGCCTGCGAGTGGGATGGATAAGCCTGTGTTTACAGTCCCACCAGTTAAGACAAAATTTAGATATCGTATTATCATGGTTGAAGGGAGAAAATAAAATCATATGAAAGGGGCCGGCAGGTGGCACGGTGGTTAAGGGCACTGGATTCCCACATGGCCAACCGTGGTTCGGGTCCTGGACCTGGCGGCTTGCTCTCTCTCTCTCTCTCTCTCTCTCACTCACTCACTCACTCACTCTGTCTCTCTCTGGTCAAAAACTTTTCCAGGTGGAAGGTCAGGTCCACAGTCAACACATTGGGGGTAGGGATGCAGAAGGCCATGCCAGTGAGTTTTCCATTCAGCTCTGGATGACCTTGCCCACTGCCCTGGCAGTGCTAGTCATATTGGGATGATGTTCTGGGCAGCCCCACGGCCATCACACCACAGCTTCCCTAAGGGGCTGTCGACAGTCTTCTGGGTGGTGGTGATGGTGTGGACTGTGGTAACGAGTTCCTCCATAATGCCAAAGTTGTCATGGATGACCTTGGCCAAGGAGACCAACCAGTTGGTGGTACAAGAGGCATTGCTGACAATCTTCAGGGAGCTGTGGCACATCTTGTGGTTCGCGCCCAACACAAACATGAGGGCATCAGCAGAAGGGGCAGCATGAGGGCATCAGCAGAAGGGGCAGAGATGATGACCCTTTTGGCCCTGTCCTTTAAGTGAGCCCCAGGCTTCTCCATGGTGAGAAAGACACTGATGGACTCCACCACATACTCAGCACCAGCATTACGATGTTTGATGTTGGCAAGATCTCGCTTCTAGAGGATGGTGATGGACTTCCCATTGATGACGAGCTTGCCATTCTCAGCCTTGCCGGTGCCTTGCCATGGGTGGAACCATACTGATCATGTAGTTCAAGTTAATGAAGGAGTCACTGGTGGCGATGACATCCACTTTGCCAGAGTTAAAGGTGGCCTTGGTGAAATCCGTTTACTACGACGACCTTTACCACTGTGTCTCCAGGATGCAGCTTGCACTGCACAAGAAGATGCAGCTGTGTGTTGAACAGGGAGGAGCATAGAGCCCCATATGACCATTTGAAAAATAAAAATTTAGGGACCAGCAGTTGGCATAGTGGCTATGTCGCTGGACTCCCATGTAGTCGACCATGATTTGCGTCCCAGACAAGGTGTCTTAAACTCACACCAGGCGCGTGTGCGTGCGTGCCCAAGATCCTGATAGGAGAACGGAGGAGAAACAATTGTGGTGTGGCCATACCCCCGGGGGGGTGATTTCTCACTTTCTGTCTCTGTCTCTCTGGCAAGTGCATGTGCCCTATAGCAAAAACCTCTCAAAACAAATAAACAAAAAACGTTTCTGGAAAAGGGGGTAATGGGGGAGTCATCTGGAGTGATAATGCTGACAAGAAGGTTCAGGACCCCAAAGGTGGTGGCCACGCAATAAAGGTCAGACATATTCTATGTGAAAAACACAGCAAAATTAACGTTAAAGTCTGGAATGAGACTCAGTGAAGTAGACACCAATACAGTGAAGATAAAGCCAGGCCAGGGGCAACTGGGGTTGGATGACCAGAGTGTCCACGGTGGGACCATTTCAAGAATTTATCTTGCCTGCGAGTGGGATGGATAAGCCTGTGTTTACAGTCCCACCAGTTAAGACAAAATTTAGATATCGTATTATCATGGTTGAAGGGAGAAAATAAAATCATATGAAAGGGGCCGGCAGGTGGCACGGTGGTTAAGGGCACTGGATTCCCACATGGCCAACCGTGGTTCGGGTCCTGGACCTGGCGACTTGCTCTCTCTCTCTCTCTCTCTCACTCACTCACTCACTCACTCTGTCTCTCTCTGGTCAAATGAAATAAATAAAGTTAAATAATAATTCTTAAAAAAAAAATAATAAGACTGAATAAACAAAAGGTGCTGATGCAAACTAAATGAACCCCCAACCTAAGAACCATACTACACTGGGAGATGATGTCAGCCAGGTTAGGCTGCCCTGGCTAACTAACTAATCTCTGGAAAGAGACAGCTCAGAATCCCCCAGAACTTAAAGAGAATCGGATCAACCTCAAAGGCACAGCTCTTTAAGGTGGCTGGATCCCGACTGCACAGTTTGAGTTCTGGAGCGAGCAGCATGAAAAATACGCCAGGTGTGTGCATGTATGCATGCCCAAAAACCCCATGAGGAGAATGGAAGAGAGGAGACTGCAGCATGGCCATCTCCTTGGAAGATTCTCTTCTCTCTCTGTCTGAGAGCACACAAACCCTATAGCAAAAAAAAAAAATTTTGGAGAGGTTTTTGCTATAGGGTGCGTGTGTTCGCCAGAAAGAAACAGAGACAGAGACGGAAAGCGAGAAATCACTCCGCAAGGCGGATGGCCAGGCCGCAATTCCTTCTCCTCCATTCTCCTCTCAGGATCTTGGGCACATAGGCACATGTGCCTGGTGTGAGTTTAAGCCACTGGGTCCGCAACTCAAACCATGGTTGACTACATGAGAGTCCAGCTACATAGCCATTATGCTAAATGCTGGTCCAGCAAACATTTTTAAAATAATTCTTTTATTTTACTTACTTACTTAATTAATTAATTTTAATTTGACCAGAGGGGGACTGAGTGAGAGAAAGAAAGTGAGAAAGCAAGCTTCCGGGTCCAGGACTCGAAGCATAGTCAGCAATGTGGGCATCCAGCACCCTTAACCACCATGCCACCTGCTGGCCCCCGTAATAGCAAAATGTGAAACAAACAAACAAAAAAAGTAACATTCCTTGAAGAGGAAGGAACACAAACAATAACTCTTAATATTTTATTAAAAAACAAGACAAATAAAGTGCATCTTATCAAAAAATATATAAAACCCACATATATTCAGGACCCCATATGCTGGGCAGTGTCATGTCCCTTGGAGTGGAGGCAGGCAGGTGTGGGCGGAGGAGGCAGGGCACAGTTCAGCTTCCTGTGTTTGGAGCAGGGCGGACAGGATGGAAAGGGATGCACAGTTCTCTCAGCCTGGGATGGAAGGAGACAGGCAGGCAACCGTCTCTTCCTTAGATTCCCAGGGAAAGGTAGATGAACTTTGTCAGAAACTTTCCTGGGCTCATGTGGCTTGTGCTCTCTCTCTCTCGTGTGGCCACAGCCTGATACAGGCCGGAAAGGTCCGGAAGTTGGGTCTGATTCCAGGGCCTGGTGAGGGCTGCAGTGCCAGCCTTACCCTCTGGTCCCTGAGATGGTGGGATTATGGCAGCAACTACTATACCCTCAGTCGGCGAGCTGGCCTGGCTCTGCAGTGACAGAGGGCGGCCTGTGGCAGTAGGATATGGTGAAGGCAGAAGAGGCCAGTGGTGAGGGATTTCACGCTCTCTCCGACCACCACCTCAGATGAGGCCCCAGTGTCCCCTGGAGGCCAGGAGGATGGGAAACCACAAGCTGGGGCAGACGTTGAGTGGCATTCCATGTTGTGTCTCCCCGTCTCACTCTGGCTTCACATTTTCTATTTCTTTTTCAACAAGGGCTCAGTTTACCTAAGGGGCACTCTTCAGCCTACCTGGAATGGCCCCACCGGGCCCTGGAGTGCAGAGCCCCTTGTTGGCCAGGATCACAGGGTCCTGGCTGTCCAGATTAGAAGGCTGACTGCTTTGCCGAGGTGCAGCGGGCCGGCCGGCCTTGAGCTGGCGCTACAGTGGTGCTCCACGAGGAGCAGAGGTCCAGCCATCCCTCTGAGTGTTCATGGCCCCTGAAGCCAGGGTGGTCTCCTTTTATAGCTGTTCTCACACCACGGAGTCACGGATCTCGGAGCCAAGGCGGACCCGGGGCCGGGGACACACTGGCGACACCTCCACAAAACTGTCCTGAATGCTGAGTGGCCTCTTCTCTGACTCGGTGAAGACCCGGGGTCCTGGGGAGCTATCTGACAGGGCCTGATAGCCTCGGTGGTCCAGGGGAGTGGAAGGGGGGCCTATGCCATTGAGTGGTCGGGTCTCAGGCGGCAGCACCAGGGGGCGGGTCTTGGGGTGCACACTGGCACACTCCCCCTGCTTCAGGAAGACTTTCATGCCATCACGGTGCCGGTAGAGGAAGAATAAAGCCAGAAGCACCACGGCAAGCCCAAAGAGCGTGCACATCACCAAGAACTCGTTCCAGTAGGACTTGTCTGCGCCCCAGCTGGACTTGCCCCCAGCTGGCGCGCTCACCCGCGATGTGTTGATGATGACAGGCACGCTGCCTCCCCGGGCAGTCTGGTCCACCTCCCCGTCCTCCACCACCTCTGGGCAGTAGCTGGCCACCAGCTGCTGGAAGCCCTCCTCCAGGGACCAGCACTGGAACTCCCCCAGGCTCTGCTGGTTGCCCACCAACAGCAGGTCCCCGCTGGGCAGCACGTGGCAGGAGGCTGAGGCATTGATGGGGGCCCCATTGTACAGCCAGAAGCGGGTGGCCAGGCTGGACAGCAGTGGGCACACCAGAGTGTTGACCGTGTTGGGCTGGAACTGGACGTGCTCACATGGCTTCTTGCCTGTGGGTGGGCAGATGAGGGCGCTGGTGGCCACAGGAGCACTGGGCTTGCCCGCCTCCCTCTGGGCTGTACTCCTGGTGCCACTATGGGCACCTCTCAGGATTCCTGGGACTGTCCTAGAGTCCTGCCTTTAGGGCTGGATGGATGAGGATGTGAGGAAAAGCATTTACACCCATCAAGGCCTGCCTAGAGGGTCTTCCGCGCAGACGCGGCCTCTTCCAAGAGTCCTCCATCTTTAAGGGACCACCTTACCTGCTGGTACAGAAGACCGGGGCTTGGCTGAGGATGTGTTGCAGAGGTCCTTGGCATTGGCTCCCTCAATGTCCTGGACCCACGGTCTGAGGACCAGAGATAGTATGGGATTAGCTAGAAGTCCCTAAGCCTGTACTCTTTCACCCGAGTGCTGCATCAGGCCTGGTGAGAGGCCTGGTGCTCAGGGACTGTTAGGCCCACAGCAGGGGTAAGAGACATGCCCAGCTCCACAGGTTTGAGTCAGCGCCTACTGGTCTACTCAGTCTATCAGATCAAAGTTACTAGAACGTGTCCCTTAACTGCAAAAGCAGTATGTGCCCTCAGTCAGGGTCAGGGAGGACAGCTGGGTCTGCATGGATTTGTCTGTCTCTCTTGGAGCAATGCACATACACTGACTTGCTGAGTAAGAAAGCTGGTGGTGTGGTGGGTAAGGCAGCTGGATCCCACATAGCTAACTGCACAGTTTGAGTCCTGGCTCGGTGGCTTGAGAAGCAAACACATTGGGTATGTATGGATGTGAGCCCAAAATTCTGGGAGAAATGGAGGAGAAGGGATTGTGGTGTGACCATTCCCCATGGGGGGGGGATGCTTTCTCCCCCTATATCTCCATCTCTTGCCAGTGAATGCATGCCCTCTAGCCAACAACAATGATAAAAGTAATTCTTGACACACTCAAAATACAGAAAACTCAACCCAACACAATGGAGAAAAACATAAATCACGGTGCCAGCAGTGGTTTAGTCCATATGGCTGACTGTGGTTCGAATGCCGGACCTAGTAGCTTGAAACATGCTGGGTGTGCATGTCCAAGACCCCAGGAGAAGAATGGAGACGGGATTGCAGTGTGCCATCCTCCACACTCTCCCTCTCACTGTCTTAGTTTCCCTCTCTAGTGATTTGTACATGCCCTAAGGCAAAATCTCTTAAAAGAAAAAAAAAAAATCACACATAATCTATCACCCAGTGGTCAAGATGGTTCACATGTTTGTCTAATACCTGGAGTCTGTCACTTCAGGTATTTGTACATACACTCACACTCGTTTTTCTGAAATACAGTAGCAATACTTGATGCAAGAACACCACAAATGGGATAGATCTCACTTTTATTCAAAAATACCTAGATTTTTCTTTGTCTATACATATACACAAAACATATATATATATATGTACACACACACACACACACATATATATATGTATGTATGTTCTGGATGTATGTTCTGGTAGGATAATATCAAAATCTCACTATGATTTTCTTACGGTGGTGAGACTAGGGATAATTTTTATTTTATTATGCTCTAAATCAACATTCTATAAACGTTTTTTTTTTTTTTTTTTTTTAGATTGCTACAGGGTGCATCTGCTCACTGGAGAGAAATCGAGAAAAAGAAAAAGAAGAGAAAGTGAGAAAGCATCCTCCCCCTCCAGAGGAGATGGCCACTGCAATCCATTCTCTTTCCCCTTGAGATTTTGGGTATGCGTGTGCACGCACACGTACCCAGCAGGTTTTTCAAGTTGCCTGCTATGGGACTCAAAGGCGCAGTCAGCCATGTGGGACTCAGCCACCTTAATCGCTGCCAACTGACCCCAGAAACCAGTCTTTAATGGGTTGTTAACAGGCTGTTTGTCACTTTTACTGTTATGAAGACTTTCCCACTCCGATCAACATTCTCCTGCAAGGTTTTTCATAGCTGGGACATTTCATACTTCACCAGACATGCCCCCACTTTCCAGGCAGCTAAGGCAAGCATAATTCACTGTCAGAACGACAATACTTCTGGCACGTGAGGTGGGGGAGGCTAACTGATGATCCTGCTGAGACCGGACGTGCTGAGGCGCACGGTGATCCCATAGGGGGCCTACGGGAGGTGCTCTGAGGCCAACCGCCCAGGGCAGAGGGAAGGGGCCTTTGGAAGCGCTCACCTGGAGGCCAGCTTAGGCTGGTAGTGGCTGGGGGGGCTGCAGCTGGAGCCGCTCCAGGCACAGTAGGGGTCCCGGGCCAGGATGCAGTCTCCACAGCTCTGGTATAGGCTGCAGTTGGCCACGGGAACCTGGACTACACCCGAGTGTGAAGCAGCATACAGCAGGCCCTGCACCACCAGACACAGGGGATGAGAGCGGGCACGAGAAGATAGGGCCATCACCCATGGCCACGCCTGGCTCACGTGCCACCACAACCTCCCCCATGGGGTCTCCGTCTTGTTCTTGGCACCCTCTATGGTCTAGCGGCACATGCCCATATCCTTCCATCTTGCTGGGATAAGGGAGAAAAAGTTGGATGGATGCTGGTGACAACAGAGGGGCACCCCCAATCGCACTGCCTGGACCTCGCCTTGGCCTGCTCACCCTGTGGGTGTCTAGGAGCAGGTTCTGCACGGGCTGGTCTGGTGAGAAGATCTGGAGCTCCTCGATGATATGCATCCTGGGGCCCACGCCCACCGCCTTGTGCAGCCGGCCGTCACCTGCAGCAGGGACAGGATACAGGCCCTGAGTGCAGCCCGCCATCCCTAACCACCAGCCATGCCCCTTCCCCCAAGCCTGCTGGGCTGCAGGCACTCACGGGTGCCTAGGAAGAGGACGTCGTAAGTGTGGTGCAGGCCAGGGGTGCGGTGGACGGTCACTCGCTGGTAGCGGATTTGGGGCTGCAGCAGCAGCGGCTGGCTGCGGACCTGCTCATCCATCAGAAAGTGGTTCTTGAGGAAGTTCAGCACTCGGTCTGGGAGCTGCAGGGATGAGTTGATGTTCTTCTCCCGGGTACTATTGGTGATGCACTGAAGGAGAAGGCAGTGGTGAGGCAGCTACACTGGGTAGATAGGCCTCCCGTCTCCCTGGCGGATGCAGTGGCACTCACCCACCCTCAGAAGCCTCAGCCGGGAACCAGCAGTTAGCGTAATGGCTATGTCGCTGGACTCCCACGTAGTCGACCGCGGTTCGTGTCCCGGACCCGGTGGCTTAAAACTCACGCCGGGCGCGTGTGCGTGTGTGCCCAAGATCCCGAGAGGAGAATGGAGGAGAAGGGATTGCGGCGTGACCATCCCCCCTGGGGGGTGATTTCTCGCTTTCTGTCTCTATGTCTCTCTCTGTCTGTCTGGCGAGCGCACGCGCCCTACAGTGAAAATCTCTCCAAAAAAAAAAAA